TAAATACTAAGGCTTCAAGAATAGTAAGTTAGAGTTAGAGATTATATATATAATAAGGGTATATCCCAACTTAGGTTATATGGATGATAATGTTAAGTAATTGATATTAATAATTTATTATACTTATTAATATCATTATATTATTAAATTTTACATATATTATAAATACAATATATATTGAAGTGGTCGGTTTCGGTTTAGTTCGGTACATAAGGTACTTAAACCAATATTTAACCGAAAACTGGAAAAAATTAAATTAATAAATTGCACAGACTGATTCTTATTAAAAAAATAGACCAGATACGGTGGTTTTGGTCTGGTTCAATTGGTTTAGTTGATTTTTTTTTTTTTTTTTTCTTACATCCCTAGGTCCAAGGATTGCAAGGCGAATATGCGTATTTGAATTTAGGAACGTGAAAGGAATATCAAACCTATACAACTTTTACTATTCAAAACCCGGGTTTTGTCTCCGTTCAAGGCAATCCTCGCCACACCATTCCACAAACATACAGACGAGACGCCTATACTGACTAATTTTTGAGCAGCCATAAAACAACAGAAAAAGAAAAAAGGTCGGCACCACCGGAGATTGATAAGGACGCTTGCCGTTCTGGTTTAGCATATACATAACTCCAAAACCATACATCTATTTCTCTTCTTTGGTTGTTTGTCTATTTATGCATGCAAATGGAAGAAAAACGTGTACATTTGTTGTGTTGTGAAGCCCAACATGAACACAGCTTTCCCTAAAATATCTCCCACCATATTAGCCTCCTTGACAAAATATTAAACAATTTTAAGTCTCGTTATTTATTTATTTATTTATGTTGGGAGACTGAATAATCATAATCTAATATCACGCATAGCTAGAACCTTAATAACTATTAAAAAGAAAAAAGTATGCATAATGAAAGCAAATAAATAACTCACTATCCATAATAAGAGAAAAATAATTCATGTTTGCCTTTGACATGAACTATTTTTCCAACTACCCTATTAATAGTTTACAATAATGTTCAACTGAGTAGGGACACAATTACTTCACTACAAAAAAATAAAATTTTAGAGATTAAAATTTAAGGACAAAATTATTTTTTAGGGATTAAATATTTTTGTTACGAAAAGTGTCGTTATTATATTTTTAGTAACAAAAATTAGACATTAGTGATGAATTATTATCCTTTTAGGATCTAATTTTTTGTTTCAAAAAATAAACCATTTTGAGACCAAATTATTGTCCCTCAAAGTTTATTTATTAGTAATATTTTCAAAATTTTGTCGCTAAAAGCCTTGTTTTTTATTTTTCGAGGCGACTTTTTAACGACTATCCTTACGATGATAGAAATTGATCTTTAAATGTCTTTTGCAACAAAATTTTTACTTTTAGAGACTATAAAATTTAGTTTCTGAAACTCTTGTATGTTGTAGTGGTTGTAGCAAAAAAAACCTTAAGAATTTTGTATTAGGGTCACCACAAATGTCATAACAAAATCATTTTCAATCATAACCAAATATCACATAAGATATAAATAAAGACATTTTAGGTCATAACTAAAATAATGTCATAATCAATATCACAATTAATTATAACTAATACCACAATATCATAATCAAATATCACAAATATTGTAATTGCGACATATAATACACTCCTCCTTTTGAGGTGCATATCAAAAAATTTCTCTGTGTTATATCTCATTTCGTATTTAAAAAACAATTTTCATCTTAATTTTCATATACGTTCAAAAGTCTTTTTTAAAAAGATGAAGAAAAATTATTAAGAACTTTTTCTAAAGTCTTTTCCTTTATCTCCTACTAAATTAATTATTACGATTAACCCAGTTGTCAATATTCAAGTACTAAAGTTCTCTCGTGCTTTAGGCTCTCTCTAGCACGTAGGGATTGTTTTCTTGCCTAACTGCAAGGTGTTTCTCTTCTTCGTAAGAGGATTTTTCTTTTTCTTTTTCTTTTTGAGTGCTTGAAATCACAAGGCGTGTTGTTTTTTTGTCTTCTAATGGAGTTTTCTGTGGAAGAGTTGACACGAAAGTTAAAACTAACTGATGAGGAGGAAGTATTGGTTGTATTGGAAGAGGCTGATACTCGGGGCTACGGCGGCAAAGTCTGGTCTGTGTCTGCTTAGGAAGGTCTTGGTTAAGCAGGCGGTTAATGTGAAAGCTATGGAGGGTTGTCCTTGCCTCAGTGTGGAGGTTGTTGAAAGGTTTAGGCGTCGTTTGGTAACACTTGGTGCTGTTTAGTAACACTTACGTTTTCTGTTTTCTGTTTATATTTATAAAAATTTAAAAAACTCAAATAAAAACTTGTTTGGTAAAATTTTTGATTTATAAATCAGTGGCCTCAGTTTATAAATTTAGCCAAAAAATGAAAAAACAAAAAATGTTTTTCCGTTTTGAGTTTTTTTTTTTTACCCCCCAACACTAGCCACCACCTACCACTATTTTCCACCACTGTCTTCCGCCACCACCACCCACCA